GCCTATCTAAGCGCGACGCACACGCAAGGTTCCTGTTTTGGAAAATTGGCAGTTTCGAAAACGCCTTCAAATGTGGCGTGATACCTCACGCGTTCCGGAGCGTACGGATAGTTGTATCATTGCGCCTTAGCAATGCGAACTAAGATTGATATAAAATCAGCCTCCACACTGCGGCCTTGTCAGTGTTCCTTTACCTCTGTTGCAGTTTTGACTGCAAATTTTAAGTGTGCTCAAGGTAGGCTTGTATTTAGTGAAAAGAAAATATATTAGAATGATTAAAAATTAACAAGCGCTGGAAGATATATAACTAAAAAATATGGACTCAATTTAACAATCAACATAAAGATACCGAAAAAGTACTGCATTCTTTCTGCTTTTGAGGAACAGAATTTTTAGTGCATGTTCTGAAGAAGGGCTGCTATAGTGCTTAAAATTTGCTGGCCAGTTTTGGTTGACGCCAATCAATATGACGTAAGGTTCTGGATTACTAAAATTGGCAAATTCAGTTAGCAATGCGGTTTAAGATTGATATTAAATCAGCCTCCACGCTGCGGCCTTGTCAGTGTTCCTTTACCGCTGTTGCAGTTTTGACCGCGAGGACAGAAAGTGTTCAAGCTAGGCCTTTACTAAGCAATTTGATCATTTTTTAGAAGGATTAAAAATAAACATGCGCAGGAAAAAATATAATTAAATAATATGGATTCAATTTGAATCGGCTCATGCGAAAACCGCTAATGTCCATTTTCTTTAATTTTGAGAGAACTGCAAAAAACTGTAGGAGCCTTTAAAATGCGGAATTAGAAAATGTTCAGAAGTTAATTATTACAGGAGAGGATCGTAGGAAAGGATCCCTAACAGTTTCCAGCTCCTCCTCTGTCTGGGACGGAATAATTAAAAAGAAAAGACTCTGGACATTAGCGGTTTTCGCATGATTCGTGAAAATCTCCGAGTTTTGGAACCGTTTGATACTCAAAATTCATTCTAAAGATATTAAAACGGTAGATTATCATTCAAATAAAGTTGTAAAACTAAAATTCTTGACAATTGCGGCACTTAAAGCAAGTTTCATCACAAAACGACCAGTAGCGCGCATGGTGGACGACCCGCCTTTCATTACTACATTTCATCTATAGCGTTGAAAGTTCACTAATTACTGCACACGACCAGTACGTAATTGTAAAAGTCAAAATTTTAAAAAAAAAATTTAAAAAAATCAATAAAAAAAAAAAATTACATGTTAGACAAGTTTCTCCGCCAGGGAGCTCGCCTGCAAGAAATCGTTCCTCACCCGCCCACCGGGAGAGCCGCGGCTTGCTGCCAGCGCGAAACGCGCATTGACGCCTACAAACCTAATGGGATACTTAAAGCATTGCGCAATGCTTGAAGTATCCCCTTAGGTTTGTAGGCGCCGGTGCGCGTTTCGAGCTGGCTGCACGCCGCGCCGCAGCGTGCCATGAACTTGCCCACAATTAATAGGTCAGGGTGTTAAAATGTAGGCAATTTGACATCAAATTCAAAATTAGCGACTCAAGAAACATTAGTTATGTTTGGATCATGGTGCGCCGCGGGCGGCGGCACTCTTGAAATTCTTCCCTGTGCTCAATAAGTGAAAAAAACCGTGAATATCTTCGTTAGGAGTTGGTTTTAGTAATTTTCGTTGCGCGAATCGTGATTCACATAAAATTCTGGTCAAGAAACATGTATAGATGTACACATGTAGAGGGATCCAAATTGATAAAAAAAAAAAAAAAAAAAAAAAAAAAAAAAAAAAAACCCAAAAAACCCAAAAAACCCCCAAAAAACCCAAAAAAACCCAGAGACAGCAACAGGGTTAAGTAAGAAACTTTCAGGAGTAGGCTGAATTACTTCAGATAATTTTATTAGAATCAGCAACAATATTAAAACTACTCTCAGCACAATTTCTCAAAAGGTGAAATCAACGAAGAAATTGAATAGAACCTAGAGCATTAATGGAAGCTGTTCCTCCAACAAGAAAGGCACAACTAATATATTTCACGGTATAAAAAGGCAAAATAATCGGTGACAAATAAAATACAAGCAGTCTCGAAGAGAGTAGTTGAAGAAGAAAGTGAGAACGGAACTCAAAGGATATTGGGTATTATTGGTGATGCTTAATTAAGTTAATGCATAACATAGGTCACTTAATTCCGTTTAGGTATCAAGTTTAATCGCTCCTCATCTTTGATAAAAACGAAAAAAAAAGGCTAATTAGAATGGTCGCCTATTTTATTAGCATGATATATTCCATTTATTCCTGAAAATTACGATTTCAATCACCTATATAACGCAACACTTTTGTATCACCTCAATGATTACATTTGAGGATTCTTCAATAATATTATTTGGTTGTAAAAAATAAAAGCTGGCTTTCTTCTGGTTTAGAGCATTTCAAACGTTTTTCCCACTTTATAACATGATTCAGAGGTGGATAGAGGGAAATTATTTTCTTCCTTCATTTATATCAACAAGAAATATGAAGGTAAATAATGAAAACAAGATGAAAAAAACAGAAAAAAGTAAGAAACTATAAATCCATGTTTCTTTACCTACCTGTCAAGACTGTTAGGTAATTATTTCCTTCTCTAGACCAAATTCCATATTTAAGACTGTTCCAGCGCAAAAATACTTATCATACGGCTGATTCTCTTAATCGGTCATAACTATCAGGTTGATATCAACCTTCATTAGAAAAAGTTTAATAAGAACTTGGTAAAATTACTTTTTTATTGGTCTGACAGCCGATGAAGTATCATAGGTAATCATTTACCTCTATACCTATTTAAATCAATCATTATTTGAGTGCATTTCATGTGCTCTAGTTTCAACTACTAACTCGAATTCAACAACTCTTATTATACTACGATCCTTCAATCTTTGTTTAATATTATCCGTAGAAAAACAGCTTCCGTACAATTAGTCAACAAGAAAGTAAGCTCAATACAAAATTTAAAAACTAAGTACAATTTTTTTTTAAAATTAAACAAGCGCATTTTAAACAAGAAGAACTTAGATTCATAAACTTCGACGATGTAAATTGAAACAAACAAAACTAGGAAAGCAAAATTTCATTTAAGTGCTGTGTACAGTAACAGTTTTCATCAGAGTAACAGAATTATAAAAGTCATGTTTAACACGAGGACCCTAGGTAAGATTGAAGAAAAGTGCAGTTGAAGTGTGCACCGGCAAAGTCATCAGGTTTTCCAGGAAGTTGAATCATATATCAAGAACTTTGAGCTTAATGTCATGAACAAAAGCTCAAGTGGCCTGAGAAAAACTAGAAAAAACTTGGCATCTCAGAGCTTATATAAACTGAGGAACGCGTGCAAAATGAAAATTTGACTGAAACAACTCAACTTGCCCAATTTACTTTAAGTAATTGCTCCGCTTTTATATCAGAGGCGGAAACTGCTTTGTTTTTCGGAAGGAGGGGGAGGGGGGTTGCAGTTTTGAGATGAGCCTCATGCGTCAAAATTTTTTGACTGCCAAATGAGTTGAAGATTGGTATTTTTTAATTAGCGGTTTAAAAACGTTGATCTTGGTACTCTAACGCACGGAAAAAAAGTAAAATTGTGTCTATGCCTCTTCTTTTCGATTTTAAGGTGTGTAGGTATTCATCGCAGAAAAGTTTTTGGTCTTGGATAACCGTTGCAAACATAATTTGCAGTCTATAAATCACATCTGTTTACGGTTGCACCCCTTCATAGTCCCCCACCTTTGCTGACACACACTCCTCGCAGCACAAACGACAGGAGAAAAAAATGATTTAAGATCTAATGAGATATATCCATTTTACCTATCTACATTAACTTCGAGCAGTCTATTTAATACAATAAAGAATACCTTAAAACCCTAAAAAATTATCTTATCATATTAGGGAGAGAATCATCTCATTACTTCATTAGAATAAGTTTCACAACTTCTTAAGTTCTACGTATAGATCGTGTGCAAATCATGGAGGTAAGAAGTGCACTATAATACGCCGCCGCGGCACAGCAGTGGCGTGGCGTACTTTGCGATATATCGATTGATCTGCCATTTAAACCAATGGAAAATGATCGATAAACAGGGTGTTCGCAACGAATACTTTAACAATCGATCTTTAACCATAGTTTCAAATGGGCAATTATCGATAATCGATCATTCACGCCTCGTCACCATGGCACAGAGAAAATCTCCAACTCGGAACCGGGAGTAAGTACCTCCAATGAAAGAGAATTCAAACGTACAGTATTAACTTTAAACTTATCAGAAGGAAACTCACAGATGCTATGCTCTCATTTCGTGCCTTCCCAGATCAAGAACGACTTTACGATTTTTTTCATTTTCTTTTCATTGACTTTTCCACTACTTAGTAAGCTCGGTCGTGAAGTTGCGCAGTTACACAGTGGTGAATTGGAAAACGGCAATATTGGGGCTGTCCATTTTAATGCGATCGTAATCCTGGTCCAGACACCTCTCAAATACTTACGTAACATTTGCTTCGACCCCCCCTCCTTATTAAAAAAAAAAAAAAAAAAAAAAAAAAAAAAAAAAAAAAAAAAAAAAAAAAAAAAAAAAAAAAACAAAGAAATGGAGAAATACATTCTCACCGAGAAAATAAAACAGAAAATAGCATATAAAACTGAAAAAGCAAAAGAGGTTGACATCCAATTTACATACTATTACGTAACACTGAGCTTGACACCCCCACATCACTTGTTACAATCGTGACAAAATTATGAAAACCCACACCCACACCCTAGAGCGTTACGTAATTGGACATTTCTGCCAAACGGAACTATGTGCATTAAGACATGAGCCCTGAGACCCATAAGAATACATGTATAACATGGCTCACGTCATGCACATAGTTCTGTTTGGCAGAAATACGTCAAATTTATGGACAGTCCCTTGCGGGGGGAACATTGATTGACCATGACCATTTGCAATGAGGGACCAGTGTTTCTGGGTCATCTAGCTACGTATAAAACGTCTTTCTATTGCGTAATGAAACTAATATGCATGTTTTTTCTTCCCCCGTTAATGAGCGCCAGAAATAGTAGCTCCTCACTGCAAAATGAAATTAGATCGGTCTTCTAGAGAGTCAGGATCCCTTTCGACTGGCGTTCGTATCTACGCGTCCGTTGGATAATATCATTTACCATGCCTTCCTCGGAAAATAGCTTATTTCAAGTACTTTTTAACGATGATATCAGGAGACCACTGCTCGGGTCCTCTATAACATATATTGCGCGCGGAGCAGTCAAATGAAACCGATAATAAGGAAGCCACAAAAGTTCCCGTCTTTGCCAAACAGCCTTTTTTATAAAACAATGGACCACTTTACGAGGACAGAAAGTCTCGTAAAGTTTTTTCTAGATAAGTATCCCCTCTTTATACATTATCATTCGATCGTCATGTGACCTAGTGTGACCATTTAATTCACATCCAACTTGCGGTTCCTTTCAGCGAGGATACTTCTGAATTGGACGTATTTCTGCCAAACGGAACTATGTGCATTATGACGTGAGCCTTGTTATGCTTATATTCTTATGGGTCTCACGGCTCATATCTTAATGCACATAGTTCCGTTTGGCAGAAATACGTCCAATTGTACTTAGATTTTTACTCAAATTCTAGAGGTCCATTATATACATCTTACACGGGATGAAATTAAAAAAAATTACTGTTTCAGACCATTCCATCGAGCCCATTAGAATATTAAAATTACTGTTATTATAGAATAAAGAGAATAACATCAACAGAAGCGCAAGCCTCCGCCATTTTCATGTCAACGAAGGGGAACTGCATCAATAAGTACTGTTTACGATTGCGGTAAGATCTCGTTCTGGGGAGGTCGAATGGTAATGCATACGTAGCATACGTTCTTAGGAATTTAAAGAGGTTTTTTTTTACATTTATTTACCGCAAACCGGAGAATTAATGTAAAAATGCTTAAAATTTATGTTTTTCCCCCTCCAATTTCATATTTGTAAGTTAACCTCGAAGCAGGCTTCAATAGGTACGAAAATTGACAGACCCAGGGAAGGAAAATGTTAAATAACATTAGTTCATATGGAGCTTTCGCTTTGGTTGACGTAGTCGACATTCTATGCTGTTTTTACTGCTGACGAAGATAAGTTTAGAAGAAAGATAAAATTTAAAAAGAGAGGAAATAATTGCTCAATTTTCCGGCCCACTTGGCAGATGGCCGTGTGCCGGCATTGTTAGGTATTGGTAGACAACCCGGCGAGACTTCCCGGCCCGATCGATACGAAACTCAGCGAAACTGCATAGACGCCACTGAGCCTTGCCGCGCCGCGACCGATAGACAACCTCAACAGCATTGCCGTTCTTGACCCATTCCCCACGTGAATTTATTCCATGGAATACGTGGCGATAGAGGAAAATGATAGTGACGATCATCGCAAGTTGGCAACAATGGATTTTCTCAATTTTAAACAATCGACTCTAAGTGACGTAGCCTGCCTCGATAGATATCGATTGTTTTGCATACATTTAAATGGAGAAAAAACAGTATTGCCGATTTGCAAGAATCCCAACTGCACTTCCTTACTGTTCTTATTGCTAGTCGCAGAGGTCGATAGACCTGAGCGCTTAGGGGACTTTAGAAACCCCTCTTCCTTCTCCATCACGCACTGTCACCCAGGTCTGAGCCCCCCCCCCCCTCCCCCAAGAAAAAAGTAATTACTCCACGCTTTCCTGGAACCACTTTTTGCGCAATAAATTGACATTTTTGGTCGATATTTTCACCTATGAAAATAAATTTCACGCCAATTTCTGCTGAACATCACACACTGTAAACCTCCCCTCTCCCATTACGCGGATGCTTATATCCCACGGGATCGTGATGTCATTAAAGGACAGCCTTTAATAATTGTCTGATTTCAACGAATTCCACGTCTACCATCGGTGGAAAAGTAAAAAATCAACGATGCTTTGCTCCTGGCACTAAACTCAAGGAAATTCTGCGTGTGTTGAATATGTTCCGAGTTTCTGAGGGTCTCTAAGAGACATCCGATATCTCTGAAAATATCAAATAGCATGTGGCATAATGGCACCGCGACTGTGTTTCCAGATAACAGTTCATGTTTGTGAGGGCAAGGTGGACATTCACTAGTAATTATAACATTGTAAAAATGGAACTATCCGTTTCCGAAAGGAATAGTGGTACTCTTTTTTACTACAAATGTTCGAATTTTTTTTTCCACCCAAAAAATAATTGCTTGACTGCTGTATGGACGTATTTCTGTCAAATGGAACCATGTGCATTAAAACATGAGCCCTGAAACTCACAAGCATATGTGCATAACAGAGCTCACGCCATGATGCACATACTTCTGTTTGATAGAAATACGTCCATATAGAAATTTTGCCTCTCAGTTCCATTGACAATACTGACATTGCATTGCAACTTCTCAAACTTAATCGGCTTACAGTCTTTCCTATGCAAAAACTTCATTACCTACACCAACTAACACTCATAGAGACTTTTTCAGGGCATCTCTAGCGAAATTTCTCAATCTATTAAACATTTAATCGAAAATTTCCCCGCAAAGAACTCTCGGCTATTCACGTATAATTTATCCGATTGAGCAAAAATAATTAAACTGTTAAATACTCTTGTTTAATTCACTACGGGCAGTTAAGAGAGAGCCAATGAGATCAAAAGGTGCTGATTGAAAATTAATTAGAGCATTTTCCTAATATATTTAAATGTATATTTATGTAATGGAACCATCAAGATGGTTGTAAAATCAGTTTTCGGACGTTTTTTTTCACCCTTAACGCTATAGCTAATCATAACCTCCGCCAAAAACTCAGGACTATTCTAAGGACAAGTGTATTTACGTTATTTACATACCTTTAAGATTAATTATTGCTCGTTAAATAAAGAGCGTTAACTGTCCGAGTTAGTTTTATAAAGAGGGAGAGAAAAAATTAAAAAAGAAAAACGTTCACGAGGTTTACCCATTACGAAGCTTCTCAACCCTCGATGACGGACTATACTTACAGGATAGAGACTAGCTAGAGATTTAACATGAAAGGAGGTACCAAGTCATTGATAGTATTATTCATCCCAATTTATCTCGAAACGTCTTTTGTTTAAAACGGACGTTCAACGCATACTTAACGCATGCATTTGAAATGTGACATTATACCATGCAAATGCTGAAATAGGTTCCCAATTTTACAATACACCCCACTTGTTACTAATATTCATAAAATACACCCTCAACATAGGCACTTGACTTCTTTATCCTCCTTATCCCCTTAACATAGGCACTTAACTTCTCCCCATTTCTGTGATGGCAAACCATGGCATCACAAAATATTGTGCAAGCGTCACAGACAACTGAAGATAGAGTCGGACAAAATGTGCCCTAGGGTGGAAACTCAAATCATTTTGGTGCAGCGGAATAACTTTTTCGGTGTCAAAAATATCGATTTTCAGCTTTCGATGCTCATCACTTTGCAATTTAACATGAGATCAAAGTTTCAAAACATAATTTGCATTATTGATTAGACTACTTATACTTAAGGTAATTAAGTGAAAACTAATTTAATCAAAAGGAACTGCGTGCGTGCGTCGCAAAACTCCAATTGATTTTATTTGGTTTCACATAGTTCCTCTTTGCATAAATATGTCCAATTATGTTATACATTTTTGGAAATGCAGCGTTTTCAAAGCTAGAAACAGCGCTGGTAAACTTCATCTGCGTCTCTCTCCAATTTCTGATTCATCATCTCTGACCTCGACGTGTTCTTGAAACGTGAATTTTTTTTATTTTCTGAGTTTTTTTTGCGCTAAAAGATGCAAAAACGACCCCTAAGCTACGGTATATTCGCCTTATCCCCGTCCACCTTAAACCACATTTCGCCAACCTCCGTCCAAGTCACTTCTCGCTAATAAGTAAGTGTAATAACGGTCTTTCTTTAGCAATCAACTTTTGACAATCCATTAAACGACGAAAATTCACTTTACTTCAGCAGCACCGAAGTTCACAACGAGCTTCCTTGACTACCTCTCAGTGGCGTGGCGTGCTTTGCGATACATCGATTGATCTGCCATCTACACCTATGGAATAGGGTCGATAAACAGGGTGTCCGCAACGAATACCTTAATAATCGATTGTTTATCACAGCTTTAAATGGGGGAATATCGATAGTGGATCGAACGCCTCGTCGCTGCTTGAATACAACAGATCGTATTCGATAAATCAAACAGGCATTCTATCGATGCGATATATTGATATCGATTGGTTCAAAACACTAACAATAACCTCAAAAGTGGAAACTTTTAGCAACCGTTCTTCTTTCAGAGATCCTTTTCTTTATACATCGAACCACTATCGAATACGATCTGTGACGTCGATAATCATAACGCAAGTTCCACAGTGATTGCTTCTATGACGAACTCTTCATTGACAAGTGATTATGCTCGCATGAGAGTGGACATCCAGTCTTCCGGTAAGAGACGGTTAAGAAGTTTGACCAGACCAAGAAGAGCGTAACTTCCGGAAGTTGGAGGTCTTCGCCCCATTCGCGAGCCTGATAAGCTATTATTGCAAGTAACAAAGTGGGCACTTCAATTCTGACTCTAACCAGGTATTGATGAGAAGGGCCTAGAGTTGTTACAGTTGAGCGAGCCTGGCTATTGCTAGTAGGCTAGTTATCGAGACTAGGAGTGATGTGAGGGGGCTCTGCATGATGGAGACAGCCGAGTTGCAGAGGGAACCCCTGCAGGAGCAGTAGATGACCTCCACTTCGCTTGTGCCGGTCCGTCGGACGCAAGTCGTGTTGTACATCGCGTCGCCCTCGATGTAGCCGCAGCCTCGCAGAACACGCTCCTTCCCCTGGACTGAAATACACGAAAATCAAAATTAGATTTTGATGCCAAATTTGGCTGGCTAAGCTGTGCAGAAAATGGTAATTGATTTAATAAAAAAAAATCGAGCTACAAGCCAAAAAAAAATTGAACAAGTAATATTTCAAACTACATGGAGACCAGGGCCGGATTTATCTACTTGCCGCCCATGGGCCGCCTGTATTTTGCCGCCCCCTTCTCATTCGTTTTGAAACATCGATAAAAACCATCAAGTGAACGTGCCGGAGGGAGAGGGGTGCATAAGACGCATTTACTCGTGTTGGGCTCATTTTTTGCGAAAGCCCTGTCAACACTACCTGCAAAAATTCACGGAACTTGGCGCGAAAGTTAAGCTCCGTAAACCTATCTCTGTGTGGACAAGGCCTTTCATTTATAAAGGAATGAACAGAAAAATTAAGAACAAACTTACGATCGCACTATATTTGGCGCAATGCGTGAAGCATTCCTGCCGTTTTGTAGGCGCTATGCGTTTCCCACCGACCGCTGCTGAGCGCACTGTGTTTGACGCAATGCGTGAAGTATTCATGCAGTCTTGTAGGCGCTATGCGTTACACGTCGATCGTTGCTGACCGCGTTGTGTTTGATCCTATGCGTGAAGTATTCATGCAGTCTTGTGGGCCCTATGCGTTACACGTCGATCGTTGCTGACCGCGTTGTGTTTGATGCAATGCGTGAAGTATTCATGCAGTCTCGTAGGCACTAATATGTGTTACATGCTGACCGCCGCGCCGAGGCGAGGGCGTCTCCTTTTCATCTCAAGTCCTCGGCATCATTGCTCTCTCCGCCGCGCCGCTCCAGGCAAAATTGCGTGTTTAGTTTCTCTCATAACTCGACTAATTAAAGGTGCTGTCTCTTGTATCAGCGCAAACTGACAAAATAAGGAATTACCATACTCTCAGGAAATGAAAGATATATTCGTCTTTTTTTTATAATTTTTTTTACACCTAAATTTAAAAAAATTGCAAAAATTGCCGCCATGGGCTGCGGCCCATGTGGCCACCCCCTAAATCCGGCCCTGATGGAGACGAGGAATAATGAAAAAGTTACAAGAAACAAAGCATACGTTTCGACCGCCAACAAACTGCGGTTCTTGACAGACTACTAACGGCAACCCACGGGGGTTGACCCTTTAGTTAGTCCATCATTGCCCCCCTTGGTCTATAATAACCACCCGTTTCCACTAATAGGGTCGCTCCATGTCCCCTATATCCTCTTTGTCTATCGCCTCGTCTATCAAATTAGCTCGCAGTTTAACTCCCACCCCAATGAAGTAATTGAGCCGCCTGTCATTGAATATCAAAGACATGGGAATAAAATCGATGAGGAACTGCAGTTTTATTCCCATGGGTAAATCAGCGAAAAGGTTCGAACAGGGAGATCTGTGTCAACGCTTGCACACCACGAAACCTTTACAAGTAGCCCATCGAGTGCACGGAGATGGGATCAAACATTAGTTAGCCCAACATTTGGGTCTTGATAGGAATGAGACTTGTTCCCAGGTCAGAATTTTACCGCTGAGTATGTTCTTCTCTTGTTTTTTTCTTTCCATTAATTTCTTTTATCACTTTATTTTGTGTGTTTCGTATTAATTGGATGATCAGTTTCCAATTAGTAATGAAACACACAAAATAAAATGCCAAAAGAAATTAAAAGAAGGGAAAAAACCTGGAGAGAACAGCTCAGCTATAAAATTCTGACCGACTTAAATCTCACAAGTTCTTTTATGCAGAAATAACTAGTGAAATGAAGATTTACAAATGTTTTAAGTGCTGCCATTGAAATTTATTTTTACTTGACGGGTGTTTCACAAGCTTTTTACGTGTAAAACTCTAGAAATGATTCCAAATTTGTCAACTGGGATCTTTTTTTCACGAGTTTTCTACGAGTTCTGTATGTGTTGTGCTACTTCATTTCAAAAGTTTTTTAAACTTTTTTTTACAAGTTTTTCACAAACCGTTGCTACTAGGGCACCTCCTTGTTTTCGCGTGTTCGTGAGCATTTCATTAAGGACATAACAGGTAGAGTAGAGCTTTTGCATGCGCAAGGGATTTGCAATTTAAGTACTTCATCCTAAGTGAAATTTTGCGGGAAACACACTGGTATTTTCTCTGAAATCAACTTCCACGTTCGAAAAAAGCTCTCAAACCTAAGGCCGTAAAGGAGGAGATATCCCACGCTAACCCGAGAGTCCACCTCTATATGAAGACGAACTCTATGTGCAAAGATATAGGGAGCAAATAGGTACCATTAACAGGGGTGCCACTTTGTTTGGGGACTTCAAAACAGAAAACACGGCAACCGTGCTAATGCATTTGCTCTCTATCTCTGCACAGAGAGTTTGTCTCGATATAGAGGTGGACTCTGGGGGTAGCGTGGGATATCTCCTCCGTTACGGCCTCAGCTTTGAGAACTTTTTTCGAACTTTGGAGTTGATTTCAGAGAAAATCAGTGGCACCATCGTGTCTCTCCCAAAATTTTACATGGGAATCAGTATTTAAAGCACAAATTCCTGACACACGTAAGAGCTCTATTTGCAGATCAGTTAGAATTACCTGCTTCCTCCCAGTTTCCATACGTCTCATCACAAATGTCTTGAATTATAGTCGAACATCGATTATCTGACCATTAAAGGCGGATGAAGTGTCGGATTACGGAAATATCGGATAATCCGAGTGACTTACCAAATTTTATTTTACCAAGTTTTATGGTGTATTTTGTGTAGTTTTCATGTTTGTTGACAGAATTGCCCAGTCTGAGCAATATTTTACCCAGTCCATGAACTGGGCGACCAGTCCGCAGACTAACCGATCAAAAGTATGATAATTACGCCAACGGGACCAGCCGTTGATTTTAAGTGCTATTCATGCGCTAACCAACGAATGTTCCCCATTGGTCAATTTCTGCCGAATATTTCGCGAGCTTTTTAATGGAACTTAAAAGCATCAGATCAGTTTACGTGCTATGTCAATAAATTCTACAATTTTATTTTTTTCCCCAGGAGGCTTTTATAAAAATCAACGTTTTTTTCTTCAATTTTGCTTGTATGTTCAGTCTTTTGGATTCGCAAGTTGCAAACGCAAAAGTGAAGCCACTCCAGCTTTACGAAGACCAGCCTGACTGAGTTAATTTGGCGTGTGGCGTAGGCGCCTTGATGCAACTATTCGTGTCCCACAGACGTGCGTGTTGCATATTCAAAACTTGAAGGCGCTTTCGCTTTGCGAGGACTAGACTGATAATGGGTTGATCACGGCTCCTTTAAGCAACTATTCGTGTTCCACAGTATTGCGTGTTGCATATTCCAAAATTGAAGGCATTCACAATTTTCTCACATCTTCACCACTCAAATTATATAGTACATATGTATAGGGATAGTCAATAGTTAGGTCATTTATACTCCATAGAGGTCTGTGGATGGGAAGCAATTGAACGCGTTGGTGAGTGGCTTTATGAAATTTGCGCAATTTTTTTGCAATCGATGAGGATCTAGGGTACGACATTAATCGGATCGTCAAAACTTCTCGAAATTTTACACGAATCGGATAAAACAAAGACTCATATTCACGAAATTAAGACTGTTGAGCAACAAGCAACGACTTCCAATTGGGCTGGACTGCATATTGCAATAAGGAACTAATATTTTAGGCTCATTTAAAAAAAAAAAAAAAAAAAAAAAAAAAAAAAACGTACATGCAATTCATGTTTCTACACGGACAAGTGCTCCATCCTATTTTTCTTCATCCTCATCTTTTTCCCTGCCTTCCTCTCCTTTTTCACTCTTCTCTTTATTCTTATTCTTCCTCGTTTTTAACTTTCCCTCTCTATTCCTCCCATTTTATTCTTCATTTCTCCTTCTACTTTCCTGTTTTTTTCCTCTCCTCCTAATCTTTTTCCTTTCTCTTTATTCTTCTTTCTCACATTTCACTTCCTTTTCTTTTCACACATAACTTCATTTTTTCCTTAATCCCTCCTTCTTTCCCGCTCCCTGATTTTTCCTGGGTGCTTTTATGGATGGGCCAGAAATAGTGGTTCCTGACTATAGATCTTATTCGATACATCAAACAGGTGATATTGTATCGATATTGATTGGTTCGACATGCCAACATAGCATCAAAAGTCAAGTTAGAAATCGGAGGGAACGGGCCATTTGTGATAGATTTTTTAATCTTTTGAGTGCCAAATGGCAATGAAAAGTGAAATTTTTAGGAATTTTCTCATTTTCAGCTTTTCCAACCTAAATCCTACAATTTTTTTGAAGCTACGTTCTATTGTTTCGAACCAAACGATACATCGAACCACTATCGAATACGATCCATTGGAAAATACAGTCCAATTTCCATCGTAAGAGAGCTCCCCGTTTCTCATCGCAGATTTTCCTCTCCCTCTTATCTTTTTCCCATCCGAGTAATCGCTCCGCCACCTCCTCGGGTACTGCGAATCCTGTCCCGATGCACTTAAGCCCCCCTTGACCTGAAACCGGGCGGGAATAAGAGCCTCGATCGTCTCGAGAGGGGGATGAGGGGGATAAATGGGAGGAAGGGGTGGGGGAGAGGGAGAGAAAGTGCGGAGAAAGGAGGGGGTGGAAGAGGAGAAAAGACTTACTTTTCATGTAGGTCTTGCGGCAGATGACGGGCTCCAGCTCGGGGAGGTGTTCGAGCCTGGGTCGGAGGCTGCAGTTGACGATGCCGATCGAGTATGGGTCGAACGGGTCCGCGCAGCGCGGGTCGAACGCCGAGTTACACGAGTAGCATGATATCGAGCTCGGCTCCTCTGCACCTGCACATAAAACAATTTTATTTCCCATGCAGAAAGGAAAAATGTGTCTCGGAGGGGGTGGCAGAAAAATGTAATAACCATCATGGTTTAGAAGGGTAAATTGGATCGTGTTCATCAGTGGCGTGGAATGGTTGGTTGGTAGATACGTTTATTTGGTGCTTTTAATAATTGAGCCATTAACACCTTAGAGGAAAGATCAAAATAATTTAAAAATTTAAAAAGTAGGGGTCACAAAAGGTAGTACAAAGTTAAAAGTTAGGACAAGGAAAGAATACATTAAATTTGGAGATTAATTCGTTTAAAAAAGAGAGGGATTCCACGAAAATACTTTGAAAGGATGGTGTGGAGATCAGAAAGTGGACGGAAAATTTTGGATCTTAATAAATTGTTGATATGTAGGGCAAGTTATTAAAACATGTTTAACTGAGAGAGGGGCATTACAAGAGATGCAGGTTGGGGGTTGGACTTTCTTGATTATGTATCGGTGGGTGAAAGACATGTGCCCAATGCACAGCCTGGTTAATTTTACTTGATCTGCTCGTGGTAGATCAGAAAGTTGAGGGAATATGGACATTGGAGGCTTTACCATTTAAACGTATGGAAAAGGTACGATAAGCATGGTGTTCGCAACGGACATCTTAATAATCGATTCTTTACCATAGATTTAAATTGGGAAATATCGAAAATTGATCATTCGCGCTTTGGTGTTCATCAGTAAGGAACCAACCCACTTGTAAGTTGAAACTGAGAAAAAGAGGTTTAAAGTTTCATTCCTGCAGGGCTCAATGTAGCAAATTAACTTCAACCCCTATTTTCATAAACTAATTTCTGTTTTCCGACTTTCAGTTTTTGGCGGGAGAAGATATACTGCTAGTGGAAATCGGAAACATTCTTAACTCGATTTTATCGAAAAATGAGTTGGTTCCTTTCTGATATACTCAGTCAAATTTTGTTCAATTGGACACAACAAGCACCAAAATAGACCTGGGATTGACTTTTGGACAGCGACTCAAAGTTCGAAGACGAAATACAACCACGAGAGATCCCATAGTTAGTACATCACCCATAGGCTGATCTAGACACGTCGAACGGAGGGGGAGAAGGGGGGGCGAGAGGGGGGTTCGGGGTGCTCCTCCAGAAAATGTTTGAATTTCTGAAACGTCTAACATGCAGTTTGAGTTGATTTCGTCATTAGTAATTACCAAATATAAGCGTCTTTTCCTTCTTCGTTCCCGTATTTCTTCCTTCTTTCTTCCTTATTTTTTCGGGCGAACCGGGGGGGGGGGGGGGGCTTAAGCTCTTTACGCCTCCCTTGATCCACATGACATCATTTTCCCTTTTAATCTATGATAACCACCCACCTCAAGCAATTATTGTCCCCATTTTCCCTTTGTCTTTTCTTTCCATCACTTTGCCTATCAATTTCAATAATCAGCCTGGCGCGGCGGTGCAGACCTCAGTACTTTTTGGTGCACTTATTCGCCATTCAGACAAATCTACAGGCAAAGAGGGAAACCACGTATCTCCCTTTGCGACGTTGCAAACTTCTTTTCATACTTTAGTTTTGCATTAGGAATCTAATCACATTTATTTCTTGAAAACCCTGGTAAAAATTGGCAGTAGAATGTGTGTTCCAAAATACTATAGACCTAAAGCCGGCTGTAAGATTTCCAATAGCTTCTGTAGCCGGCTGTACAATTTCTTATAGCCTTTTATAGCCGATGGCGATTAAGCAACAGCCTGACGATAAAGTTTATGCTAAACGTTACTAAATACGGATACTAAGACCTAGTTAGTTTTTGGACTACCGCTCTCTTTTTGTGCCGTAGTATCTTGATTTATTTTGCGAGGAAAGCTCCGTACTTTTGAAGGATGCCTGTCATTCTTAATATGTTGGAGAGCCTTCAATTTCTTATGATACTGTGCAATACCTATGGTGTGAAATACTTGCTTCAGATACCGTGGCACGCTGCGGCGGGGCGGGCGGGCAGAGAGCGCGTAACGTGCAATGGCGCCTACAAACCTAACAGGGATACTTCACGCATTGCGCAATGCGCGTAGTATCCCTGTTAGGTTTGTAGGCGCCAGTGCGTCGCCGCTCCGCTTTGTGTTAGGCTCTAATATATAATCTCGCGGAGTCAGCGTTTTTCAACTCATGATTTTGAAATGTTTGCACACTCTGTATGGACTGTTCTCATTTTAATTGAAGAAAAAAAAATGTTTTAAAGGAAAATATGATGTGTGTTTTGTAAATATGAGCATAGTTCCGTATCAAACTTTATGATTTCCAAAGCGCACAAATTTCTACACAATTTCTTACAGCCTTTTATAGCCAATGGCGATAAAGTGTAAGGCCCGGCGATAGGAACTATAGCCCGACTGTAGACTTTTTTATAGCTTCATATAGCCCGGCAATATGATTTGCTCCGCTTTCTACAGCCAGCTATATGATTTTCAATAGCCTTCTTTAGTCGGCTATAAGAACTCCTATGGTATTTTGAAACGCAGCTCCTATCGCCAATTTTTACCAAGGAACTGCCTTGATTTCTCATGTATATCAGCAAATTATTCCGTAGAAACTTCAAGCTATACAGTTGGCTTGTTTTTTTCTGAAAAAATATAATGAATCAGAGATTTTGAAACATCGCAATGGAGGTACGTGGATTTTTACTTCAGGAATCGAAATTCTCTCTGAAAAGGATTAATCCAATGTGTATCTGTCCGGTGATCCTAATGGGTATGTTGCATACAAGAGATACAGCCGGCTGTGTAGACTTTTCACGGGTGAAATCTTAAGAGAGCCACGCTGAGCTCATAAAAAAAGTCATAAATTCACTCTAAACTGCACAATCTGTGCACCGATGTAGCACTGGAGCCAGCGCCAAATAATACCCAAGTCAATTCCCAAAAAATCAAATTGAACCAGTGCAAATAAAGATAACATCAGCCTCGATTCCTGACACTTTTCAGTCTTAATGATCAAAAGCAAAAACTGATCAATACTGACGTCATCTTAATTTGCACTGTGATTACATTTTTTTGGACACTGACCTAGGTGTTATTTGGCGCTGACCTCAGTATCACTTCCGTCTGAGTTGCAAAATTCACCTGGCATTTTTGCCTCGACTACATCAGTGGCGTGGCGTACTTCGAGATATATCAATATTTCCCCATTTGAAGCTATGGTAAAGAATCGATTGTTAAGGTTTTCGTTGCAAACGCCCTGATTCGATCCTTTTCCACAGGTTTAAATGGCAGATAAATTGATATATCGCAAAGCACGCCACGCCACTGGGTTACAGTAAGTTTGAAAGCGGGTGATGCCCCTAAGTAGCATTTTTCAACGGAAAAATTGCGATATTTTGAAATTAGGTTGCGATTTTTTTTACGATTGTTTGGCGATGAAATCGCAAGAATCATCAATATCTGAGCAATTATTCTCGATCTTGTCGCAATTTTATCTCCAAGTAATTTCATTTGATAAAATCGAGATTTTAACTCAATATATTCCGATTTTTTGTTCGATAATATTGAGGTGAACCGCCGTCAATTAGATCGCAATTTTATCGCAAATTTAAGCGATGCAATTTATCGCAAAATATTTCAATAAATCGACATCGATGAAATCGCGATACATCCTCCGATGAAATCGCAACTTATCGCGATCACTGCTACTTGGGGACATAAGATTGCGCGTTTTGTAATGTATTTGAAAGGCGTTTTTGATGTTACGTAGAGCGTGATTTTATGCGATTTTACCAACGAAAAATCTACTCAGTCGAGAGATATGATTGACGCTCCGCAGCCCGTGACAAGATACACAATAATAGATTAAGATAACAACGATTTAAAAAGCGGGTAACAAGGCTAAAATTTCACGAATAAAACCAAAACGTTTCGGCTGAAAAGCCAGCCTTTCTCCACAGGCGGATCCAGCAATTTGGCAACACTGGATTTCCCCCATGTAAATCTATGTTAAATAATCGATACTTGTCAGAGCACCTCGCCCCTCCAAGAATCGATGCATTTCCATAGGTTTAAATGGAGGAAACACAATGTTGCCACTTTTCTGGATCCGCCAATGCCTTCTTCAGTTGGATAAAATAGTAAAAAGAAAAGTGGTAAAAATTCGAAACGAAAAAGATTAAAACGAAGCGTTTAGGATTTATTCGTGAAATTTTAGCCTTGTTACCCGCTTTTTAAATTGTTGTTTTTTTTACTTTCCACTCAATCGGTTGGCATGTATCATTTCTGAGCAATAGACCCATTTCATCCGAGTGGAGCCAATCTGTGCGCAGCCCCCAATTGGCTCGGTTGCCGGTATCTAAGTGTTGTTTTCAGCTCGGGAAAGGGGGAGAGGGGTACCCGTTGTGCGCTCGTGCGGGTTGTTTGTGGCCCCTCGTCCTGATCAATACACAAACAATGTGCACTTGCACTAATCCAGATTTGCGAAAAACTTTTATTGCACCCGCGAATAACTCGACCCGGCACGAAATTTTCTACCCCCTAATCTCTGTCGGCCATTCCATCCCCTCTTCGACCGCGTCCTTCACGTGGTGTGACCTCTCCAACCGCTGCTCAATTGGACGGAGTTAAACAGAAAGGAACCAAGTCACATCGGGATCGAACCGAGAAAAAGAGGTTTAAAGTTTAACTCCTGCATTAGACTCAATGTAAAAGATAAACTTCAAGTTCAATTGCAAAATTTGCTCCAACAAAAACTTTGAATTTTCGGCGATAGATAGTAGAGCAGAGGTTGAGTTCAAAACCACTCATAACTCAATTTTTTCCGAAATGTGGGTTGGTTCCTTTCTGCTTAACTCAGTCCAATTCGTGTTGGTCTCGTCGCACTCTAGAACCCGCCTACCTGCTCTGCCGTGCCGATGAAAAACGTCGTATGAACCTTTAGGCGTTGCCATACTTCCTTCAATAAAACCTCAATTTACTGGGAAAATCGGGAATTTTTCCCTTCAATTTTTTCAGACAATTTTGTTCGCAAT